GACCTGTGTACCTTGCGGTAGGACGTGAAAAGCTGTGGCTCCGGGAGCTACAATAGGGTAATAGGGTGTCCTAGTGTTGCACGCAACGTCGCCTTGCACGCAACGGAGTTAACTCTAATAGAAGGCTTATTACTCTTACTAGTAACTTTTATAGTATAGAAAGTAGTAGAGATATCTATCTTAGTATTACTTATCTTAAGAGTGTTTAAAGTATAAAGATTATTCTAAGATAATATAAGAGTTAGTTCTTAGAGAGTAAGTAAGTAAGGTAAGGTAAGTTAGTGTACTAGCATAATTAGAAGATTAATATAATAGTATAAGAGATAATAGTACGTTTAGTAGAATAATATAATATTATAAAGAGCTAAGAAAGAAGTATAATTCTTAGATTAAATACTAGAGTCTTGTATAAAGTTAAATACACTAAGCTATAAAAGCTTAGTGCCTAAGCTATATACTTAAGGTAACTCTATAGTCTTATAAGTCTTAGTAAGTCTTAGTAAGTTCTAGAAGCTAGAATGTAGTAAGGCTAAGTAGAATTTCTAAGAATTTCTTTATAGCTAATAACGCTAATATATATAATATACGTAGAACTATAGAGTAGGTTACGTATTTCTTAGTGCTCTCTTTATCCTCGCAGGTTAGTTATTATTATATCTAATATAGCTATTAGTCTTCTATAAAACCTAGTGCTTATCTACTTCTCTCTCTAGAACTATAATATATAGTTACGTGCTACTTATAGATAAGCGTTCTATACTTATATAGATAGTATATTATATTCTTAATTATATTAAGTAATATAGATAGATTATATAGGCAGCGCGTAGTTATTATAGTAGTTAATATTCTTTAGGTAGCTAGCGTATTAGGTAGTTACGCAATCTATAAGAACTCTATATTTTCTATAGCTTAATATTACGCGTAATAGTAGATAATTATTAGTATTATTACTTAAAAGATATATTCTAATAGTAAAAAGTTAATCTATAGTATAAAAATAATAGAATTTAAATAGTAATACTTATAAGAATACTAAATAAGAATACTCTTAGATTCTGCTATTCTAGGTTAGCGAGCTCTAACGTTTAGCCTAGTTTAGCGCGAGAATATGTATTCTTATTACTTTATATTAGTTAGGCTTTTTATAAAACTTATAGTAAAGATAGTCTTTAAACTTATCTATATACTAATTAAGTTTAGAGCAGCGCAGTTAATTAGCCTCGCCTGCCTGCAATATCCCGCAACAAAATACTAGTCTGTACCGCATACACCGAACGCATGCCTAGTAACTACTTACTTTAACATTACACGACGTATTCTAGATAACTTAAGAGCTCTATGCCTAAGCCGTGGAAGGAAGCGATAGAGTTACGATGCGCCGCAGCAATACGGTAGTCTTAGAGGTCGCCGATGAGTAGGTGCGCAGAGCATCTTCACAGTTTCTACAGAGCTAACTGTACGTTCTACTACGAGTGTCCTCGAATGCGATGCTAATATGTATCTAGTGTGAACCTCTAAACCTTCTCTAGCGACTACCGTTCGCAGTCTCCGTTCTGTCACGTTGACCCCTCGTGCGCGTTGCATATTTACACAAATCACACGCTAATGATAGGAGAGCCCGCATCTCCGCGCACTGTGCGCTGCGAATAAGATCTGATCATGTCTTCTATTAGCATTAGCGGCAGCCGGTTCTCTCCGAGAGTCCGTCGACGGTGGGACGAACCGCACATCAGCGGGGACTTCACCACTAGTCCTGGTGCCAGCTCTGGCATGAGATCATCGCTCTGAAAGCGCTCTGCTTCTCATGCGATAAGAGAATCGGCTCAAATGACTGCGTTATTAGCGTGGGTGGATTGTTGACGGTTCCCGCTCCTCAGCTTCCCCCAGCTTGGGACCGTCATCGACCAATCGGCCATGGATGAAACCAGAGCTTTGCACATACTTACGGATGGGTAGGTAGATATTGAGGCTTGCCGACTCATGGTGAGTCGTCGCGCACGCGCAGATTTCGGCTCTGTACTCACAAATGTGATCGAGCAGAAGCCGGTATCCGTCCTCCTTCCTCCACCTATGCCTACGCCCGCGCGCCTCCACCGATACCACCCGATACCACAGATCCACGAATCAAGCAAATGAGCCTGGTTCGACGAATAAAAGTAGGGCGATAGCAAGGCTGGTTTTTCAGATCGCCCCCGGTCCGGCGGGAGCTGGACACATCACATCGCCATCGTACGTGCGACGGCGCAATACGGAAACACGGTATACGCGATGATGCAGTGCAAGGCCTTCGCGGGGCTTCCGCGACCAGGCGTTATGGCACCGTTCGCGACAAAGCTGACTCGCTGGCTGATCATTGAAGGAGCTGTTCCGCTGACGGTCGTTTCCTTGGGGCTACCCGGCAGTTGAGTACTGAGTGGGAGCGCTCATCGCTTCGTGTTGTTGCATAGCGACAGCTCAAGCTCATTGCGACAGTAGCAGCATCCCCACATAGCGCGCCATACGCATGCCAATCCTCCATCCAAGTACACTGCGAGCATGGCAGACCAGGGCTCGTCAATGCGCCCGCAGCGGCTACTGCTGCCGGTCGAGATTTGGACCATGAGAACCGCGAGGGTCACCACGAGCAAGATGCATTGCGTGTCGGGTGCCGACAATGCACGGTGTCAGATCACAGCCTCACCCTGCATTGCGGCAGCTACATCGCAAAACTGGTCGCACAACTATCCAAGCCGACCGACGGTACGAACAACGTCCCTGTAACTCTGGACCCCTCGACCTGATCAAGGGCCTGATCAACTATCAGACGAGGCAGTTGGAGCTGATATTGAACAATCTCGCAGCTCACACGTCACTGTATACAGCTGAAACCCGCAAGGCTCTGCGCTCGAGGCTGTTGTCTGGTACGACCTGGGCTGTGCGATGATCGCGTGTGACATGCCGGTTCCGAGGATAGATTGTGTCTTTGATTCAGACTGTGGCCGGGTCTTGATTCGGGCTGAACATGAAGATGTTACTCTGGTATACAGCATGATCGCAACAGCTTTGACGGGTGGGCCAGCTACATTAACAGCTCCTCTACAAACGGCCGACCCCTACAATACTCTTGTACAGATATGATCAGCTACTCTTTACACATCCCTTCCGCGTCACTGCAATTCTTTCTCGTGACTTTCCGGTTTGGGTGGTCATCGATGTGAGCCGTTTTCTTGCAAGACTGCAGTCGGCAATATCTCCGCGGGGCACCGCCGATCGTCTTCACCGGTTTTCCCGAGCCATCCTATCAAAGCTGCAACCCCACATTGTTGCGCAGAATTATCATTTGCCTGCGTCGCTGTCTAGGTCAGAAGTCGGTTCAGCCTTGTGCGACACAATCCATTGTATTCCGTCTGAGACTAGGCCAAAGGCCGAGTAAAAGGCGTACTCCAATCCCCAATTCGACGTGGCGCTGCGGTCTTGGAACTGGGCTGAGCAGCCCTGGAGACTTCCCTGTCTGATCCGTATGTCGGGTCCACCGATCTTACAGGGCCATCATGGTGGGGCTTCGTGCGGATTAACAACCAGCAGAGCAATCCTCCCCTACGAAGTCTGCAAGTGGTCAGCTTACGAGACGCACCCCCTACAGACTGTAGTACATATTCATTGCGCATGAGAATATAGGCATACGAAAAGATGCGATGCAGCATGATTTCCAAGAGAATGCGTATCGCAGGCTCATCCCGTGGGCTCCTCCAATCACATGCGATGTGGGCAATTGGAGCTGAAACGTGCATGCTGCACTGCCTGCATACATGAAGCCTAAGCGCCTGGGTAGACAGAAGCCTCAGCCTGATCGTGTTAATACATAATGCGCTGGTCCCCGCTTTCATCCCTGTGTTTCCTTGCATCAACCACGATGGAGCCGCTCGCTGCCCTGGGAATTGCTGGGACCATCATACAGATAGTGGACTTCGCCTCTCGCCTCGTGTCACGCAGCCACGAGCTGTATCAGTCAGCTGATGGCAAGCTTGCCGATCATACAGTGCTGCATAGTGCTGCGCAAAACCTTCTGGGGTTGTGCGACGAGTTGCGCCTTCTCGATCCGCAACGCGAACCCGAGCCTGATGGTGCCCTCGACTTCATGTACGCGGTTACCACACCTAAATAACCTCCCAAGCTCTCTGCTGCCGATGCCCGACTTGTTCAGCTTATGAAAGACTGCGAAGCTGCCGCGAACAAGCTTCGCGCCGCTCTAAACAAAGCAAGCGGAAGCAGCCGTAACAACGCGTGGAAAAGTGTTTATCAAGCCTTAAAGAGTACACACAGCGATCAGGAGATTACAAAGCTTGCTAGTCAGCTTGAAAGCATCCGGAAGCAGGTTGATAGTACTGTGCTGGTCTCAATTCGGTATATGAAAACTTCCTGAATTTAGTTGTACTCTACTAATATTTGCAAGACAACGAGTGAATGCTGTAGTAGAGAAGCCAGCATCAGCTAAGTTCCCCAGTAACTTGCGTGGGTTCCAAATTGAGAGGGATCAAAGAGACAAGAAACTGCTCGAGGCAGTCTACGCCAACAACTGGACGGATACCAACGCGCAGGATGTCGAGGAGTTTTCGAGACATTTACGTTCCAACACATCTAAATCGCAAAAAGAGCAGTTTTGCGACCTCTTGCTGCCTCGACTGTATTTTCAACACATGGTCAATCGGTCCGAAAGCATATCTGAAGCGCACAAACAAACATTTGAGTGGTTGTTTGAGCCTCGGTACAGCTTCTCTACATGGCTCCAGGAAAAAGATGAAGGTCTCTACTGGATTACTGGCAAGCCTGGCTCCGGCAAATCAACCTTGATGAAGTTTCTGTACAACCACAAAACTCTTGATGCACAACTAAGTGCCTGAGCTGATTCTCGGGGTGGCCCAAACAAGATCACGAAGACTGGGTTCTACTGCTGGAATTCGGGAAGCGACATGCAGATGTCGCGTCTAGGCCTCCTCCAGACCTTGCTTCACCACTGTCTCTCAGGAGACACTGAACTATGTCTTAGAGCGTTTCCCGAGCGTTGGATGCAGTTTGCTGCATTTGGCGGTGGCCTAGAGACGTCCTGGGATTGGTTTGAGCTCAAGCGATCTTTCGAGAACATTATATCAGATCAGTCTCGGTCGTTTTTCATTCTTATCGACGGTCTGGACGAGTTTGACGGAGAGCTGAAGGATATTATCAAGCTTGTCTTGGGCGCTGTACGCCCGAACGTCAAGATGTGTGTTGCGAGTCGACCATGGCTCCCCTTCGAGGATGCGTTCAAAGGCCGTCCAAACTTGCTTCTCCAGGAATTGACGCAGCATGATATATCTACATATGTGGCCGAGACCTTTCGCGAAAACGAGCATTACATCCGCTTACAGCTTGAAGCTCCCGCCGAGGCAGAGTTCCTATGTCAAAGCATCGTTGAAAAGGCTTTGGGTGTGTTCCTGTGGGTTCATCTTGTCGTGGAGTCGCTGCTCGAGGGTCTTTCGAACTCGGACAACCTGCGTGATCTTCAAGCGCGCCATGACGCGCTTCCCTCCGATTTGGAGGCACTCTTCGAAAATCTACTACATAGTGTAGACGATCGGTACTACACACAAGCTTGCCAAATCTTTTACATGTTACGACTCCATCGGGAGAGCAATGCTGGCCAGAAACGCAATTACAACACGCCTTCCCTGCTAGGGATGCATTTCGCAAGTGACGAAAACCTGACTTCCAGTATCATGGCATCTTGGGAAGTTCTTGAGGAGCAGGAAGCTTGCCGTAAGTCTGAACACATGAGAAGGCGCCTCGTCTCTCGATGCCGAGGTCTCTTGGAAACATCCAATCCTGAATCCAATCGTCCTGCGTTCGACCATGAGATCATTTACCTCCATCGCACTGCGCGAGACTACATCGAATCTCGTAATTACTGGCCGAAAGTTGTAAGAACGGCTAGCCATGGAGATTTTAGAGCAGAACAACGCTGGGCCAACGCCAATTTATGGCTGTACAAAGTCCATCCGCTCGTTTCACCCATCAGTGGCGGTTGGCATTACAGCCTCCAGAGATCCAAGCTTGATTGCGCTTCTGCTATAATGTCGTTTCCGGAAACAGATAGTCAGCTTCGCAAAGCTTATCTGGACGAGATGCTGCTTGCCGACTCTTACTTGAAGTTAACATCATTTGAAGAGTCCTTGAAAGAAACACTGGGGCTAATCAAACGAGTAGACGGCCTGGATCAGTGTTACCGTGAGATTTACCTCGCCGAGCTTACCGCAAGGGCAAGTCCGGAAGAACGAGAAATACTCAACAAACATGCCGGACACACCAGCATCGACAAGGCCAACGGACGGCACCACGTTGTACAGCATCATGGGAGTCAGAGCTTCTTCCGATTGACAGGGTATTATAAGATGCGGAGGGGAATAAAGCGTCTTCGACAGCGAACAGCTGATTGACGGACTAAGACGGATATCCGTCTTGGCTGCATTAATCCGAGGCTACAACAAGAGTTTGTATTGAATGCTTAGAAGCTGTTGTCGCTGTGGCGTTCAATCTTGCGACGATGCAGCGGTCGTGACCACGAGGGTCGGAGCAGATACATCGGCGTCGAGCGCCTGCTATCAGAGTCGTTGGCAATTGAAGTGCCCAACATCCTTTCAACGGTCTTTGCGAACTCGGAGATCTTGAATGGATGAAAGTAGCGGTGGCGCACGGAAAGCGACTGTAATATCATGTCGTGTCGATTCGGCTTGTGATGCTTTCGTTCAGTCACCACGATGAGTCCCATGCGCAGGCTCACCACCTAGGCAGTCGAAGGCGCAGTACCCTCGCTGGCAGGGCCACAAGAATGCGCAGGTGGGAGGACTTCGAATTCTCCGTGGTCAGCGATATTCGTTCGACAAAAACGGAGGCAGTATGACAGCCACGATTCCGAGTGTTGCTGTATGGAGACTGTGTCTGCTGCGCCGCTGTTGTCGCGCGCCAAGGGAGTGACGGACTTCCAGCTACTCTCATTGGTTGACGCCTGTCCCACCCCCCAATACGCTCACAGCATGTCCGCACTCGTCCCCATCACAGCAACACGCCCCGCACCACCGCCAATTCGTCATTCGAAGGTTCCAAAACATCTTGTCTCGAGTAAGACGCATCCACGAAGATTCTATCGAGGAGCTGTAGCTGGTTTCACAACAAGGAAGAGGGAGGGTGGTTGTGACTACCTGATTAGGCGTCTTGACCACGTCGCTGCAAGATACAATCCAAGAAGCTGAATGGCATAAATGGTGTAACAGTCGGACTGTCGATGTCCTTAGACACGTCAATCCAAGCTCCGGCGCGATTCATCCTTGCATCACAGGCTTTCGAAACAGCGCCTCGCGTCGTAGTCTTCTGTCTGCCAATCGCGGCCGAGCTCGTCTTCTACCATCACAGCGAGTGTCGCGACAGGCGGCATGACAGTGTAGAGTGCATCCTTCATCCTGCTGCCGCGCGCGACGCACCTCTTGACGTCGCTAGAAAAGGAAGACACCTTTGCAGATCGTCGCGGGTTTGATGCTCACCAGTCATTGTCTCACATTCTCCTCGCTGCGACGCAAATGTTGAGAGCCGGCTTCGCCAACTGGAACCATCGTTGACCGATATCTGGCTCATCCTGGAAGGCTCATACACGAAAACATTCAGGCGGCGCTATCACAGTGCGACCAGGCTGATCAATGTGATGAACAAAGCCTCTACCTGGTCGATAACGTCCATGTCTCGTTTCCGGCAGCGCCTTCAAATCCGGCACCAGTAACAGCGGTAAGCGGAGACAAGAAGGGCGATACCGGGTGTTTGGCACGTTCCCTCAGGGCTCGCGAGGCATGCCGGGGGATGATTCATCAGCGAGGTACATTCGATCATCTTTTAAGACGTTAACTTTGACCTTCCTGCAAAACCTTCCTGTTTTCGGTAGTGAATTGCGCAAACTTGACAAGAAAGGCTCTACCAACCCATGGCTGCCGAGGCATCGCGGCCCAAAGACCAAATATTCTAGCAGCCTGATCCTACAGATAAAGGGCTGCTCAAGCTGCTGTTGGAGACTTCGGGCGTCGCAATTAAGCTCGGGCTCTTCCCTCAATGTAAAGCTGCGCAGGTAATGGCTCGCCCGTGCGCACACAAGCCTGACGAGGCTGAAGAACTCTTTGGTACACACGGCGCAATCGTTAAAAGCTTTAGATGGCCTTGATAGATGGATCACGGAGCCCACTGGAATGTGCATCGGTGGGCACATGCAAGCCGATATTCTCTGCTCTCAGCAAGGCTCTTAAGGTGCATCGAGGCGTACAACGTCTTCAGCGACAATTGGAAGGGCTACGGGCGCAATAAAGATGGTCACCAACCCCAGACCTGGCAAGGGCTAGACGACGCGCCCGAATATGTCCATAGTATCCGTAATCTTCATGTGGCTATAGTCGTACTCATTCTTCTCAGATGTCGCATGGTTCAAAATTGCATGCTGAGCTGTTGCAGTCATGGCTTGTCCAGTGTATCACTTCTTCAATGTGCACCTGCGCAGACCAGTTCAGTTCCATCCGAACGTATGTCCGCCATCAATGTTGTCAATCGGCAAGACGCTGAAAGCCGCAAGGTCGCCTTGGTCACGTCGATGGTAACAGAAGCCGGAGGTGTCGGTAGTGGAAGTGCATGCCGTGCGCGTGGCATCGCAGGCCTTCGTCTGAGTATCACCACATTCGGCGTCATGCACACAATAGGCACGCTCAATACCGGGACCGAGATGAAGGCGTTGTATGTGCGCAATTTTGCAAGGCCGCAGTGTGAGTCAAAGGCGGATATCATCGGCAAGGCCCTTGAGACTCCCCGAACGAGAAGCTTCGAATCATTCTGACCGAGGATGGGCAGTCAACAATAGTGAAGTCTCGATAATAGTATGTAGGATCGAATGTGGCTGTCTGGTGTGTGGGATAAGTGCGCATATCGCGCGCGCCGAGGGCCCGCGGGCGGGCGACGCGCTAGGGACTTCCGGGCGCTCCGATTGGCCACGAGCCACCCCGCTCAACAAGACGCACGCGCACCCATCGCAGCGACGCCTTCACAACGACGCGACGCGCATCACTGCGCGCACCACCTCTCGTCCATCGTAAACATTGCACACTCACATACGTACGGTTCAGCGGTATACCGACGTGCCCAGCATGACGGAAAGCGAGTTCGCGCGCGCGCGCACCCAAGGACACGCTTCGGCGTACGAAGAGGGTTGAGCTTGCGCACAGCCACCTTACCCGGGCAATCATTGCTGTGGAACATGGTGAGCATATATCGATACAAGCTCCATCAAATTTGGATCACTAACCAATGCCCAGGCACCCAACATGATCATCGTCATTTTGGGTTGAGCTTCATCCGCGGCACTCTGCCAAATCGCACTTACCCACCTTCGTACGGTCGACTACGATAGAGCCCCCCGACCGCACCATACCTTCACGACACTCAGACTCCATAGCATATTGAACATCTCGAGCCTTTGTACTTCGCGTTTCGCTGGCGCGTCCTCAACCTCCACCTCGACGTACCGAGCGAACATCTAAGACTACACCACTCATTTCCGAAGCTACGAGCGGACATCTGACCGCGGGACAACGCATTGGTCACGATCTCACGGAAATTCAGTCCTGTCTAGGAAAAGCCCTCTCCGGTCGTCATCAGCGGCAACAACGTCCAGATGCATGGCAGGCACTCCAGCGCGGCTGCCGTCTCTGGCGGACTCGAGAAATATACCATCATGTTGTCCTCTTCCGGGAGGAATGGCCTAGAGCTTCTCTGGGCAAAGATGTGCTCCGGTAACGCCCACGCTACTCTTGACTGTTCTGCAGCCCTCATTACACACACGTGCAGCGACCACGGAATGGGGCGGCCTCATCCTCCTCCTCCGTACCGTCCTGCCACCAGCGCGTCGTCACGAGCATAACGAGAAGCTACGCCTTGCCACCACCTCACTCCAGATCGACTCCCTTGTCGCAGACAAAATCGGTATTGGCCATCCAATCAACGCCTGACGAACGATAACGCAACGTCAGTCACCAGCCCTGATAGCCTACGCCACACGAACAAGCGCTTCGATACGTCTGTCCTCTCATCATTCTGTCGACTGCAGACGCTCGCGTTTGGCTTTCATATACGTATGGGTGGAAGCAGCATGGTACCCGGCTGCCTGCCTTGGTCGACCGTCCTCGACCGCTGAGTGTCACCAAGTGTCTGCGCGTGCATCCTTCCCTGAGATCACTGCGGCCTGACGATCCCGACGAACCGATACCATTTCCAGCTTCGGCGGCCTGAGCAGTAGATGACCGGCCGGCGAAGGGGCAAATGAAGAGCAATGGATGAGCCTGTTCAGGCGCGCGAGACCGTTGTACGCCAGACTATGAGGACGGACAAGCCTAGCACAACCTCAGGTCTTCCGTGGTCGCCGTAAGTCTATCCGTCGAACCGTTTTCCCACACCTTACTAATGTCGATGTGGTAGGCTCTGGCAGTATGCGCTACTCACAAATCCATACCCTGCGATGCTGCCATCACTCGTTGCTCGCCTCCTTCGTACATCTCGTCTCTCTCCGCGATCGTCTGCTTCCCCGCGGTCCACCGTCCTGAACGGCCCATATGTTTCCTCTCAGACGGCAGCATGGGTCATACCGCGACGCCCAACAAAGACGCAAAGCATGTCGCACTGAGCATGACAGTTTGATCATTGGGCATCATCGCAGCACGCCCATCGAAGGTAATATCTGACCGCCCCAGAGCCGAGAAGGAAGTGGAGGCAGCAACCCAACATTGGGATGCCCTTGGGACCCGCCTTGATTCCTGAACGCGTAATGGGCCCAGCTTCTGACCATATGACTCCTCGGAGTGCTCGCCCCAGGCAGAAATCATAACATGGCGATGCCGGTGTAGCGA